TAGCGTTCCCCTAGACGTATTCTTAGGCAACTCTGGAAAGTGGACAGAGATACGTTCCTTTCGTCTCAAATGAATTCTTTGGAGACTAAGTTCTACGTCTTTAGGAGAAATGGAAAATAGCCAATGTTCATGATGCTTGTTTTATTAAAATAACTATGAGAAAATAGGATTGGCTTCCACATAAAACAAAACCTCCCAATATTTAGCAGTTTAAAGGAAGCTTTAGACTCTAGTTACAGATACTGCTGGGCAAAGGCAATAATTCAGCATAGAACTCCATCTACAGCAACATTTCTTCTAAAATAAATTTTTGTTATATTTTCCCATTAAAAAACAAAATGCAGACTTTCAGTTACTCAGGTATCAATCTCTACTTCCTCTGACAAAAAGGACACTAAAATATTTTATATATATATATTATATACATATATATGTATATGTATATATACACACATATATATTATATATATATATTAGCCCACATGGGCAAAAATAATAGATCCTCTACTAAAAGCAAGCTAAAGAAGCCTAGTGAAGAATACCACAGGCCTCAAGCCTTGGAAATTCCAAGTAACAGTAAACGTCAGTATCCATGATAGTGTTAAAAACAGGATGAAAGTCTGTAACTGAAGTCACATGTCCTTAACTATCCACAGGCAGGGTCACAAAAGTTTTGTTCTCTGGAGAAAGCGACCTGTAGACATTCTGGTTTTGGAAAACCGGACAGACAGGGCACAGGTAGTCACAGGACTGAACACAGGTAAATTTAGGGGGAGTCTACCAACTGAAATGGGGGGGTATTTCAGCCCAGGAACCCAGGACTCAGGGTCATCAAAGCTAGATGTCTGCCTAAGGGAGTACCTGGGGTTAAAACTGGACTCAAATCCTTGTGGGGATGAGCACTGAGTGTTATGTGGAAACTAATTTGACAATAAACTATTTGTAAAAAAAAAAAAAAAAAAAAAGTCATATGTAGGAAACTAATTTGACAATAAACTATTTGTTAAAAAATAAATAAATAAATAAAATTAAAAAAAAAAACTGGACTCAAATCTGGCCTTGCTGCTTGCTAGCTAAATACAATAATGGCTAAGTCATTAACTTCTCAGTTCCCTTACCTGTAAAGTGGGTATAGTAGGTATTGGAGTGATTGCAATTATTAGAAAATGAAAATAAATAGGGGCACCTGGGTGGCTCAGTCGGTTAAGGGTCCGACTAGTGGTTTCAGCTCAGGACATGATCTCACAGTTTGTGAGTTCGAGTCCCATATCAGGCTCCATGCTGACAGCTCGGAGTCTGCTTGGGATTCTTTCTCTCTCCCTCCCTCTCTGTCCCTCTCCCATTGTTCTCTCTCTGCCACTCTCAAAATAAATAAATAAATAAACAAAATTTTTTAAGGAAAATGAAAAGAAAGTATTTAGCGCATGCCTGGCACATAGTACATACTCAGGGAATGGTAGCTAGCATTATCAGTAAAGAGCGGGTTGTAGAGAGCTTTCTGGAGGACTCCAGATGGAACTACCATCAAGTACAGACACCTGTAAAGTGACTCTTCACGTTATTTCCTAACAGATGACTCTGGAACATAATCTGAATTCTTCAGTAAATCACAAGTCAAAATGAGGTTTGTGAACACTGTTCTATATGCCCAGGAGAGCATTAGACCAAAATGACTTTATTCCTGGCTTCTCTAATGACTAATGCAGTCTTGGTGAGTCATGCAAGTATTCCTCACCCGTGAAGTAGAAACAGCAACATGTCTTTGCAAGATTGTTGTGAGGATTGGTTGTAATGCACCTCAGACCCTAGCAGAACGCCTAGGACATGGTGAATCTCAAGCAATAGAAGCCATTTTCATCATGATAAAAAAAAAAAAAAAAAAAAAAAAAAAAAAAAAAAAAAAAAAATTTATAAATGGCAATTGAAAATCTGGCCAATTTAAGGGGTGCCTGGGTGGCTCAGGTGGTTATGCACCTGACTTCGGCTCAGGTCATGATCTCATGGTTTATGGGTTCAAGCCCCGTGTCAGGCTCTATGTTGACAGCTCAGAGCCTGGAGCCTGCTTTGGATTCTGGATCTCCCTCTCTCTTGGCCCCTCCTCCACTCACATTCTGTCTGTCTCTCTCAAAAATAAATAAATACTAAAAACAATATGATCAATTTAAAAATAAATTTGCTCTGGGCTTTTTCTTTTTCATTCATCAATGTCAAAGGGGTAGGAGGGCTGTGTGACGGTAACCAAGATACTGATCCACTGACTTCTAAATCAGCTGGGAAATTGACAGAGCATACACCTAAATGGTAAACCATACGTGTGTTCTTGCCTAGAATATCTGCAGACATTTCAGCCCAACTGCCAGCATAAATGACACTCAATATTTTAGGTAGCTTTCACATTGGGGATTTTAACTTAATCACTTAGTTCTTCCCCCATAAAATGGAGTCTCAAGTCAGAATTAATTCAAACAGTACTTCTCTGGCTTATATGGGGGACACTCGTCTTTGTTTCTTGGACTCTGAGCCTCAATTTATCTTTCAAGTGGAGAAGACATAAAACAAGAATATGATGAGTAATTTCTCATCTCATAATGGAGAAGTAAAAACAGTTTTCATATCAATTCTCTAAAAATACTAAAATATATAGCACAATATTTCATAGGATATTTTATTCACTGTCTCAGTGAGATATATTTTAAAAGCTTAGAACATATTGTATGTGTATGGCATAGCCAAAGAATCTTATATTCAGTTATCTTCCTAATTGAGGCAATTAACAAAACAAAATACACATTCAAATGAAACATGTATCTAAACCATTTAGAAATCATTAAAATTATATATCAGGTTCTCTTTCACTGATCACAAATTATGGTAATGCTCTTGTGGTGCTCATTTCCGGGCTCACTTTGGTGTGTTTATTAAAGCCTGGTATTGTCAGATCACAGGGAGTATCTCCTTTTCATTTTCATATCTCCAATTCTAAAGGGGATTAAATTATCCAATTAAGCTGTTAATTAAAAAGACTCTTACAGAATAAACTGCAGGCTACCAATGGCATTTTAAAATTGTCATTGTGCTGTACCCAAAAGCAATTTCCCAAATTCAGAAGACCTCAAAGTTACTGAACTTTATTTCACTTTAGAAGGTGTGGCTAGGATTGCCAGCTGATAGCCAAACCTGTTTCCTCTTCTTTCTAGGCACACAGCTTGACCATCTATCCCAGCCTCCCCCATAGTTAGGTTTGCCACATGAATGAGCTCTAGCCAATGGAATATGAGAAAAAGTGACACAGATAATTCCTGAACCAGACCAAACCTTCCAGTCAATATCTTCCTTGGCCTCTTCTCCACCAGCTTCTTGTAAGATGAACATGCCTTCAATCATGTTGAAAATGGCTGAGTCGCAACATGGAAGGAACGTGGTCCCTAAATCACCGATGGGAAAAGAGATGTTCACTGACCATTAACACCTATTCTGTATGCAACAAAAACAAGAAATCAACTTAAATTGGGTTAAGTCATTAAGATAATCTGTTTCAACACCAAGTGTGATTTAATGAGAAACAGAACTGAACTTGAGGGACATGCAAATACCTTAACCCTAACTGGAAACATCTGCCCCCTTCAAGTTTGGATCAGGTCCACTTATATATCTAACAAATGAATTACAGTCAATAAATCTTAGGGAACTTATAAAATCTATCATATAGGCGATCGCACAAGAAATTCTAGACTCTTTGGTTCTCCATTCCTCCAAAGCCTCTCCTTCCTTTCCATGCTCCAGAGATCACTCATAACTGTCACTTCTATGCATCATTCCTTCCGCCACTACCCTATACACAATAATTCTTATTTGGAGGATTAGTTCAGACTCTATTTTAAACAGTGTCTCTAAGAGGGGCACTAACAGGCCACACTTAGCCACTTATTACCCACCAGCTCTGTATCCTGTCTGCTATCTCCTGTACATAGTCCCTCTGGCACACTTACTACAAATCAGTACTTATCTTAGAACATATTGGTGCCAGAAAGATGATTAATATTATCAACAGAGGGCTCTACTTGCCCTGCCAGCCTAACCTCATATATGCCTCCACAGAGACATCAGTCTGAATTCTATGGTCTGCCTCTGGATTTGTCTCGACTGAGGCAAAGCAGATAGACCTGCACTGTCCAAAGGTCAGCAGGGGATATAAAGTCCTAGTCATTGCCAGTTCTCTGGTAGGCACAGGGCAAAGAGGCTCCAGTAGCATGAGGTCAGCTATAGCAGAGAGCTACAGCCACGCAAACAGAAAAGCAGATGGATGGTGAGGTTAGGGTGCCAGGAAAAGGGATTTGCAGGGATTTGGGCAGAGAGAGCACCGACAGTGTCCACCAGAGGAGTTGAGCAATTCCTTCTCTGTGCCCCAAACCATAACCTAATGTCCCTGAATATCACTACCTTGCCACAAAGCAGGGGGATTCTAACAGTTTCCATATATGTCTCCCATGTAACACCAGGCTGTTCAGTGAGGCCCAGGGATAGCAATATCACCTACCTAAATAGGGCTAGTTGCATGATCTAAACAAAACCTGTGTTCAGTTATGGTGTGCTGAATGCGTGACTGCAAACTGACTAGACTGTTAAAGACAGGTGATGGCACTTATGGACTCTTTGGTCTGACGGCAACTGTAATGTTCATTGTCACCTTTGCAAGACCAGCCCTATTATGGTTGATCACTCCCTCAGAAGCCTCTCCTTTCCTCAATGGAAATATTATTGCATAAGCAATAAACCACATCTGCGGACTTATATTCTAGAAGAAAATACAATTACCACCTCGTAAATCCCTATCTACAAGGTTACTGCATTCAAATCCCAGTTTCCTAAACCAAGAAACCTAGTCTACTAGAGTGCTTTGTGTACTTTTTGGGCAAACAGTATTGTCTAAAACACAACTGAGTATGTTAACAGATACAACAGATTATAAGTATTTTTTTAAAAAAATAGAGGAGACAGAAAATCTTCAACTTTTTATTGTCCTTAAAATGATTGCTCTCATTGTTTCACAAGTCAGGGAAGAAAATACAATGACCATTTAGACATAAAATGCATAATCCAAGAACACCTTTCTTCAAACCAGTGGGGGCACTGCCACTGGCGAGGAAAATGCTGCTGCATGAAACAATCATGTATTCTTCATTAACTTAATATGCAATTGAAACATTATGTTAGAAATATCAAGGAAGAAGCCCCATTAAATGCTAAGTGACTGAGGAAATACTGAGAGAATAAATGTATTTAGAAATGGGGTCATCTAAAGGATGAAGGTTAATGCAGAGATCAGTGGCCCAAAGGACAAAGACTCTGCTTTTCCTGATTCTGGGACACTTGACAAGCAATTTCAAACCTCTCTCCACTTCTCTGGCACGAGCATAACCTGTGCGGCAAGCCATCATTCCTTGTTGCTTCTTAGCAATGCTCCAGGGCTAAATAAGATAAAATTTATGTGCCATGCTTTAAGCTCCATTGAGGAAAGGAACTGAATAAACTTCAGGATAATTTACGAATCCAAGCTCGCATTAGTCATGTCCAAGTCTGTCTCATAAAAGGAAAAAATGGAAATAGGAGGCCAATGCTGTGTGGTTGGTGGAAGGCTCAACAAACTTTAGGCAATGTTGATAAGCTCAAATAATACCACTTTATATACATAAAATCCTTGACTAATCCGGGAGAATTTCCCAAAAAACCTAACTCCTTCCAACATGCAGACAAGAGTTCACTGGTAGAACATGTGGTATGTGCATCAGAGAAGTCTGCTGTGGTAGTCTTGTCTGTGATCCAATATCTCATTTCCTTTTAATTTACCATAATTATTTTTGTAAGACTCGATGGCTCGACTCCAATGGATATGCTTAACAAGGATTGCCCAAATCCTGTCTTCTCTTCTGAATTGCATTCTGGGGCCAGCTTCTCCCTACTTTTTTACCTTTCCTTCCAGTTGCGTTTTCCCTTCTTCCCTCTAGCACTTAATCAGTGTCTGCTTCCTTCAGCAATCTGTATTGAAGAGAAGCAACAAGAGTATAATCGAAAATTGAAACATGAGTGTGTATTTGGAAATCCAATCCTACCAGAAAACCATTGTAGCTTGTAGTGATGATTTGGTATCGCAGCTCTTGTTTTAATAACGGCCATCGTATCTACAACTTTCAGTAGAAATGAGTTACATCAAGTAAATTTAATCAGGACAAAGCAGCCACATCATTTAGCAACCAGGTTTCCTCAACTGACAAGTGACTGCATGATTCCCACTTCCAAAGTCGTAATTCTACTTTCTCTGACCTACAGGAATGTGTTTATTGGGAGTTTAAAAGAGAAATCTAGAAGGAAAACAGTATTCATATGTGCATAACAGACTTTGGCGGATTCTAAATGTCCAAGTTGTGGGATAAAACAAGGAGTATCTTGTATGCCTAAAGCAAATCAGAATGGCTCCTCCAGAGAAAAGGCATGTACACTTCCAGCACTCCTAACGTAATAGCACTTGTTTTTAAAAATAAGTCATGCTAAAGTCACATTAAGCCTTGGTTAAGAGGAGGAAAAGGTAGCTGCCCTTCCAAAGTTTATTCATTTAGAGAGGAGCAATTCAAGGGGAAAATCACTATGTTTTGACTAACACAGTTTAATTGTTTTCCTTATGGTGGGGACCCTGCATTTTTCTCCCTTGGGAAGTTCCCATGGTTACAAAAGGACATGGCACACACTTACATTAAACAAACAAAGAAATGGAAAACAAATCACAGGGATGCAAAATGGCCTCCAATGGTTAGTCTGAATTTGTCATTTTGCTTCTGAGATTTTTCCTATTGGCTCACTTAACCCCAAACCACGTACACAATGAATAAAGTTAAGGGAGGATGGCTATTTTAAGAAACTGGAAATGCCAAGTAGCCACTGTAAGGCCATTACAATCTCTCCCTACACACACTAATAAGACATGGAGGCATTCACCTGAAAGGATAAAGTTCTGAGACTCAAAAACCCAGGGCTGATCTTCCTTACAGACTCTTTAGAAGACTTGGACAGTAAAAATTATGTTCCTTTGGATTATGCAAGGAAGTTTTAATTCAAACAATAGAGTTTAAAATGTCTTCAATCAAGAAATTTTTCAAAACACGTTTTTCAAAGAGAGGTAACGTAACTGAGCCAAAACAGAAGTGGTATCTGGTCCCCTGAGCTAAAGGGGGAATGGAAGCCACACATTCTTAATGGAGAATGAGAAAATCATTTCTCAGTGCCTGTTCATTTCAAAAACAAAAGAATGCACATCTGTGAGGGAAACAAGACAAAGAGGAATTGGACTAAAGAAGTACCCAGCAGACAGGCATAGTCACTGAGGTTTGGGCAGAATAGATCCAATGTTGGAGATTTCGTCGCCTAGTGACTGGGAGTTTTGACTTCTTCTGGGCCTTCAAGACACATCCTTTTTTCTTTTTTCTTTTTTCTATTTGGGAAACTGAAATCCTTTCTCAAGTAGCCTTTCAGCCAGCTCTGTTCATGCCGACTTGAACAGAGCTATCAGCTACGTCAGACAGAAGCTATGAGAGGCATTTGCATCCCAAAAGACTTCAAAGCTGAAGGCAAAAATTGCATCAAAAACTGTAAAATGAAGCTCCAATATATATTTCTAACCTAGCTACCAGAGAGTTAATAAACACTGTGAATAACGATACATAAAATCTAGTACTGCATTCTACAGAGCAAGTAAGACCTACCAGGTATCCAGGAACATGTCCTCATCATGGAGGGTTACATATTTCATAGACTGATTTTTTTTTTCTGGATACATTCTACTTAGGCCCTCTGCAAAGCTGTGGATTAAAATGGTATGTACCACTTAGCTGTTTACACTAAAATGGACAATAGCAACATTTCAGCAGATAATACTTTAACCAAAGTAGCCTAGGGATTTATTTTTGAGGGTTTGGTTTTCTAAAGAAACATATTTGGTTCACTTCTTAAATTCCCTTTTGTTAAGCCCTACAATTTGAATAGATACTGTTCACATCCAAGCAACACCCAAATAATGAAGATGCATTAAGAATAGGAGTCCTCGGAGGAACCGAGGCCGAAAGCGGTGGCGATGAGTGCTCTGTGTGGCCTCTTGCGCTACTGTACAGCTAACTCCCAGGACGGCATACACCAGCGGTCCAGCTACCAGAGTCGGCAGGAGTCCAGGCCCCTGTTCATCGTGGAATTGGATGGACAGTTAAAGGCTTTCTGGAACTCTTCAAAGTTGCTAAGTGCACCATTGACCCTGGAAAAGATATGTTACAGTCCATGTTATTTAATTCTTCTTTATCAGTAGGTTCTGGATAAAACTGTAGCAGCACAGTGCTCTCAGCGATGATGACTTCATTTCATCTGTTTATGGGAGAGATGAATGAAGTCCCAAATGGAGAAGTAAATTTCCAAAGAAATTAACAGAGCTGAGACTAGGACCAGCACGTCCTGAATGCCAGGCACATGCTCTTATTAATCTTCCCAATACCCTCATATTTCTATAAACTGTAGGGTTTACAATTCCTATAAATTGTATATCCATACAACTGTATAGCCCTATAAATTTACAGACTCCTAGAAATTGTAGGATTTACCAGAAATATTTAGCTTTTCCATTTTTTTAACTTTTTATGGAAGGTATAACTGATATAAAGTAAAATGTAAAGCTCATCAATTTTGTTCATGTATATATACCCATGTTAGTACCACTCTGAGTATTTCCAGCACCTAGAAGGCTCCACTGTGTGCCCTACAAGTAGAACCTCCAAGGATAACGACTAGTCTGACCTCTATCACCAAAGATTCATTTTGCTTGTTTTTGACCTTCATATGAATGGAATCACACAATATGCACTCTTCTGTTCCTGACTTCTTTCACTCAATATTATGTCTGTAAGATTCATCCATGTTGTTACTATCTTTAAACTATCTTTAATGACTTCAATCTACAACACTTTCCTTAATTCCTATTATGTTTGAAGGTTCATATTTACCTAAAATCTGGTCGATGTAACAGGCTAATGAACAGTATCTACCTGTTACTGACGAGTAATGTCTTACTGGAGTTACTCCCAAAATCTGGTGTTCTTGCAAGTTTTCTGACTGCAGTAAAGACTGTGGATTCCTACTCAGCGCTTTGATTGGAACTGCCTTACAGCAGTGGTATTTCCACTGTGTGATTTCTGCTGTACTCAAAATCTATAGTTACTGCAGACATCTCTAACAAGCCAGCAAAAACTGCCCCCTCAACTATTTCTTACTCAACTGCATGTTCAAAGAGTTGACTAGAGACTCAGCATTCTCAGTTCCTGAGTATTTCTTCCCTAATGACTTTGTTACCTATGGGCATTTGAATGAATATATTGGCCTGTATCCAAACTTCTTGTTTTAGCTGGGATGTATGGGTAGGGATGCATATTTCATAGTGTGATTCACCCTGGGCAAATGTTAAAAAGGGAATTTAGCTGATAATTAGTAAGTATACTCTTCAAATTATCAGCTAAAATCCAACATTATGGGCAACCAATTAGTAAAAGGAAATTAGTTTCTACAATCTTATCTGCTAAGTAATTAATCTACTGTGTGGCTTCCTCTGTACCACTCTCCAGTGGGAGCATATTTAAGCACATTAGAGTGTGTCTGCATTTTTGACAGTTTAGCCCAGTGGGGAGAAATTTCTAACACAGTGATTAGATTTTTTTTATGCTATTGGGTAATTTATAGTCAATTTCTGAAACATTTCTAAAGCAAACTTTTACATATAAGATTTTTAGATACAGGAGAAATTTTTGGTGATTTTCCTGCACTGTGCTGATAGATTCACTTAAACATGAAACAAAGACATCCAGATGTATAACATGTTCTAAGCAAAGACTCAATAAAAATTATTATGGTTTCTTGTATTCTCTATTATAATTCTGTGAGCCTAACTACAGAAAATCTCCCTCAAACTATGTTAGAAATCTAGCACAGCGTAAGTATACTAACCTTAATTTTATTTATTATTTGTAAATTCTGACAATTAAAAAAGATTGTAATTCATAATCCTCTTCCCTTCACGTGAAGTAAGTGTTTCAAAAAATGATTCAAACTAAAAGCCAAAATGTAGAGCTTCAACTTTAGATATGAATTCTAATAGCTAAATATCACCATGCATCCTCCTTTGTGTTCAGAGCTATTCAGAAAGTGGGTATCCATTCATGTCTGCCGGTTGACTGCATGAAAGAGCAAAAGACATTAAACAGGATATCCTAGAACACAAAACAAACCAGAACTCTACGTGTTTTAAGGCACAGCACATAAGCTCTCATCCTTGTCTAAGGAAAGAGACATTTGTGGCCCAGACAAAAAAAGTAGGCGGTACCTTTCAAACACTGGAAGATAATAAACGGGAATTAATACTAAAGCTATGAATTGGATTCTAAGTTATCTTTGGAGTCTTGTACTATCTCATGGATCTCAGTAAAGCACTAGACTAGAGGTGTGTGTAAATGCCTACTAAACTAGCTTCCTATTAATGAAAGAAAAGATGCTCAGTTTCTATTTGGCCAGATGTTCCTGTCTGCAAAATGGAGATATCGCTGTTCACAATACAGGCTTTTGTTCAGATCTCCTATGTGGTACAGCACTGGGATGGCTGAGTCGGGGAGGCAGTGGGAGATGCACAGTTACAAATTAGGATCACCGATTTGCCCATTTACCTAAACTGAGGGGGACTGTGAGCACCAATTTGGACTTGTTCTCGGGCAGCTTCTGGTCTATAGGAATTGCACCTCACCTAAAAGAGAAAAGAATCCCAATAATTATGTATCCATTCCAATTACACATTTTCTACTGCCGTAACTGCTCCAAATTATACTGAAAGGTAATTTTAGACTCGGGGACGTTATCAGGGGATGACAAACAGTTTTAGTAGATCAGATAAAACCTTCATCAGGAGTAGCATGCATTACTCTAATCCCCAGAGTAGAAGGTTTTATTATTGCACAAAACTACACAACTTGAGTAAATTAGGAGGTTTCTAGACAAATTTCTTTAATTTTTTTTTTTTGAGAGAGACAGAGACAGAGAGCACAAGCAGGGGTGGGAAAGAGAAAGAGGGGAACAGACGGTCTGAAGTAGGCTCCATGCTGATAGCAGTGAGTTTGATGCAGGGCTCGAACTCTCAAACCACGAGATCATGACCTGAGCCGAGATCAAGAGTAGGACACTCAACCGACTGAGCCACCCAGGCACCCCTGTAGACAAATTTCTTTTTTTTTTTTTTAATGTTTTATTTATTTCTAGGAGACAGAGAGAGAGAGAGAGACAGTGTGAGCAGGGGAGGGTCAGAGAGAGAGGGAGTCACAGACTGAAACAGGCTCCAGGCTCTGAGCTGGCAGTCAGCACAGAGCCTGACGCGGGGCTCAAACCCACAAACCGCAAGATCATGACCCAAGTGAAAGTCGGACGCTTAACCGACTAAGCCACCCAGGCGGCCCTGTAGACAAGTTTCTTAAGAGAATAGTGTATAAGTCTAGAAATCAACCAATGTATTAATTAAAAAAATATAATGCTTGGAAAAGCCCTTATCAAATTCCACCATACTCATTCCAACAGGAAAAAAATGAATCATTCATCCCTTATTGAGTATGGTCATGAATAGTTAGTATTTTGCACCTAAGTGCTTTGCTTGCCTTACCCCTAGTCAAGGCCTCAGACAGGAAGAGACTTCTCCCTGGACTCTGAAGTTAGGCAAAGCTAATGTGACTTGCTCTGACCAATCACATGAAAGCAGAGGTGACAGATGTCACATCTTTGTGGAAGTTTTAAAAACCTAGCAGAAGTTTTTAGGAATCTTAAGAATAATTTAAGATGCTCCATTAAGATCCACTGGACATTTCCCCATCTCTCTTTCCTACTCTGATGGTGAGCATATGAGCACGTGTTGAGATAAAGATTCCAAAACCCGGGTTCTTGAGTGATAACTAGGAGCGGAGCCTCACTTTCAACTCATGCTGGACATGGAACAGGAACACAAAAGGAAGTGTCTTTGTAGTGTTTGTTCCTGCACCATAACCTACTTAATCCTGACTTGAAGTTTGTCTGGAAACATGATATTTTCTTGAAGTATAAAAAGAACTAGGAGACATGAAATGATGGGGGGAATTCCAAGTGCAGGAGAAAATGGTAGCAAAGACCTATTTGAGAAAAGAAAAAGCAAGACATTGAGCATGGCTGGACCATGTGGGGGTTAATGGGCAGCAGTGGGAGGCCAGCGGGGAGAGAGGAGGGTGCTAAATTTCTGAAGGCCTGAGCAGGTTAAAGGGTTTAAACTGTATTCAAACACTGTTTTTGCAGAAGAAAATAACAAAATCATATTTGTAAAAGAATTATCTGCCAGGGGTGCAAAGCAGGAGGAGGAAATTAAGAGACTAGTTCCAAGAGTATTTTTGGGCCTCAGGAAGGTTCCCAGTGAGTGGCCCCTAAGTAAATAGAAATGGAATGGAAAAAAGTAGAAAGATAAGGAAACTGTCTGAGGAAAGAATTAACAGGTTAAAGTAAGTACAAGGATACAGGAAGCAGGAAAGGTGATACAATGCTATTGCTTTTGATGAAGATAAACCATCTGAATGTGACTGTGAAGATGCTTTTGTAATGTGATTCCTTAATTTCCTCAGAAGCTAGCTGGGATGAAGTAGTTTCTGGCATTTGCTATTACCTCATTTCTTCTTGTGCTGTTTTTTCTTATATTCTTACATTATTATATAGCATTGTTACAGTATTGTCTTTGCTTCATAAATCATTTAAGATGCTTCTGAAAATACATTATAGTTGTTACTGTTTTCCAAGTATCTTCTTAGGAGGAAAAATAACTTTACTCCCTCTAAGCACACTTATTCCATTGTGCAAAGGCTGAAAATCTCCTCCTTCTGTCAGTAGGAATACCTCCAAGATAATTTCTCATTAGTATCATAAAATAGCTTTCCATTTTTTCCTAAATCTCTTTAGTTTAAAATAAATCCGATATGCTTTGGAATTTTATTTGAAGACATTTCAAAATTATGAAGGTAATATGGCTACTGGTTAGTTTACCTTACATCCAAAAAGATATTGTGGACTAGGATGTAACTAAGATGGACTTTCAGTAAGTAAGAACCAAAGTAAGAATGAATGGACATTGTACTTTGTCCTCTAGACCAAGGGTCAGCAAACTTTTTCTGTAAAAGGGCAGACATTAAATATTTTAGTCCTTGCAGACCATAAGGTCTCTGCTTCAACTACTCAATTCAGCCACAGTACCACAAAACCAGCCACCCACAACACATGAAGGAAAGAGCATGGCTGTTTTCCAATAAAACAGTTTTTACAAAAATGGACAGCAGGCCACAATTGGCCAATGGGTGCTGGTTTGCCAACCCCTGTTCTAGAAATTTCTAACTATACTGCATGTGCTTATTTGAGGTATCTGACTCAGCACTGACCCCAAAAAAGTCTCTTTAATGAAACTGTTACTTAGTCTTACCCTTTATAAACAATTCATATAAAAATGTCAAGCATCTTCGATATACCCAGCATCTCTGCTGGGTGCTATGGAGATACATATAAGAAATATAAGGATCCAGAAGATTAGCTATGAAGATAAAACTAAAAGTCTTCAACAGTTTGAGAACAATTGAATACCCAACTGCAGAGTAATGAATGGAATATAAAGGAGTTGGAGATGTAAAAAAGAGAGAGAGAGAGAGAGAGAGAGAGTGAATGAGTACTGGAGCTCTAGGGAAGTATGTGGAAAATGTGGAGGAAGTAGAACTTGACATGGATCCTGAAAGACAAAGATGAGTCTGAATAATCTGAGAGGGAGGAGTAGGAAGAGGGTCACATCATAGAAGGAAAGTCAAAAGCAAAGCCACTAAGACAGTAATAGGCATAACACTGTGGGGAGGAAGCAAGGACACCTGTCTGGCTAAGGACAGTCTGGGAGAGCTGCACAAACTCAGAACTGCTTGGGCACAGTTGAATAAGACTGAACAGAACTATGAAAGCGAGTTGCGTATGTTTGGCCTTGATGTGGTAGGCACTTGAGAGCCACTGCAGTTCCTTCAACAGGTCAGTAATGAAATCAAAGTACTATTCCAGGGTCATGTAAGATAGACAGCGGTGGAAATACTCCAAAGTTGGAAAAGCGTGCCATAAGGCTGTTGGGATAATTCAGAGTAGAAGAGATCAAAGCTTATTCTACAGATGATGAGACAGGCTAATGGGGGAATGAGAGGCTCAATGTGAAGAGGAGTTAAAACGATGAAACAACTACCTTTGGGGACCCATGTCATAAAAATGAGGATAGACAAATCAAGGAAGACCAAAGAATCTACATTTTCTAACCAGGAAGACCCAGAGACTGGGAAGTATATTGATAGCAATGGGAAAATTAAAAAGGAAAGTCACTTTGGTGACTCCAGTTTTGCCAATGCCATGTTGATAAATGACCGTTTATTTAGTGTTGTCATGTCAGTCTTAAGAAATAAAAGATCCCGTGGGGTGCCTGGGTGGCTCAGTTGAGCATCTTACTTTGGCTCAGGTCATGATCTCACAGTCCGTTAAGTTAGAGCCCCGCATTGGTTCCGTTGCTCTGAGGGCAGAGCCTGCTTTGGATCCTCTGTCTCCCTCTCTCTCTGCCCCTTCCCCCTGCTCTCTCTCAAAAATAAATTAACATTAAAAAAAAAAAAAGAAATAAAAGATCCCAGAAAGGTGAGAATCCTTTAGCCAGACTCAGCCAAAGAAGCTGAGAAATTAAAAAGGAAGGAAAGCCATAGAAGGAAAAATCAAAGCAGCTGTGTGAATGAATCAGCTTACTGAGGAGCCAATGCAAAGACTGAAGTCTAAGAAGGTTGTGCTGATAACAACTTTGGTCTAGTTTTGAGCATACGGTTACACATTTGCCCACTGTGAAGCCATGCATCAGAACTTTCATCAACCCATCCCTGGTTTCTTTGAAAATGAGGTCTACACGTGTGTGACCTAAGTTTCTGTTGTTGTTTTCAGATCTAGCAGCCTTCACGTACTCTCTGACTGTGAGAAACACAGCCTTGAGGGTCCCCTGCAGGATGAGTGTGCTGGGATACAGCCAGCCACTGAGGCAAAGGAACAGGAGAAATGGAGTAGAGGACAGGGCCAGGAAAGCCAAAGAACAAATCAGTAGAAATGGTTGGAAGGAGTAGTGCATACTTAAAGAAGTCAGGATATATTAAAGAAATGTCAAGTGGTTACCACAGGGCTGGTAACCCACTTGATAAACAATACCAAAAAACCCTGACTCAATCAGTTGATTAATTATGTCTCCAAGAACACTAAGAAGATGAAATTGGTCCCGGAAATAAACAGCAAGATAAAATTTCAGCTCAGATCAAAGGTATGCCACTAAACTTTCGTTCCAAACCTTTCACCATGGGGGCAAGCCAAAGTCCCACGTTTCATCTTTGATGCCCCCTCCTTGGCCTACTCACATGAGCGTAACTCAGGAAGAAGAGCTGATTGTTGGTGAATGTGATGCCTGGTAGGAGAGGCTCCTCAACTCCCTGCCTCTTATCATTTATCCATTTCCGGTAAGCCTGGAGTGAGAAGCAGAATAGACAATTCTCTGCACTGGCGGCTCTTCTCTTTTTCATACAATGCAGAGATATTCAATATATTGTCCACCATGTGCAAAATGCATCCTGTAAAGTTTTCCTTTAAAGAAACCAACCTCTGGAAATGCAAATCAGTGTTGTACTGCTTAACAGTGAAGCAGGTTCACCTGGAAAAAGGTCTGGTACTCAACAGATACAGAGAAGCTGGGCCAAAGCATTCACAAGTTAAATTAACTCCTCCCCCACAAAAAGCTAGTCTCTCTCTAACACAATGGCAAGGACTTTGGAAATGAATCCTGGGGTCCACATATTGGGGCAAAATTTTTATTTTTCCAAGTAAAAGGGAAAACCATCACCTGCAATCACCATCACTTTGTAAAATATATTTTAATTAAAATACAGGAAGGATGTGGGGCGCCTGGGTGGCTTAGTCGGTTAAGCGTCCGACTTTCGCTTGGGTCATGATCTCGCGGTTCGTGGGTTTGAGCCCCGCGTCAGGCTCTGTGCTGACTGCCAGCTCAGAGCCTGGAGCCTATTTCAGAGTCTGTGTCTCCCTCTTTCTCTGACCCTCCCCTGCTCACGCTGTCTCTCTCTCTCTCCTAGAAATAAACTTAAAAATATATTTTAAAAAATAAATAAATAAATAAAAAATAAAATACAGGAAGGATGTAACTTAGGAATAACAGCCTGGTGTTTACACTAAATGCATTTACCTTTATGAAAATCTTTCCACATCATCCTTAACATTTATTGTTTAAGCAAAGACCAGTGGATGATGAAAACATGATGATGGACTCTTACCTGGCCCACTATATGAGAACCACTAGCCTCTGGCCATCATTTAGAAGTGTGGTATTTTAAGAGAAAATTGCAAGACAGCTGGGCTATGGAGACAGTGTACTCAAGGAAAACTCATATGAACGTAGCCCTGAGGAGATTTCTGGAGCATGGTTTGATATTATTGTGAATGCAACTACTGAAAACTATCCTTTAAATACATGATTCTTAACAACAAATAATATTCTTTAGGGTGACTCTATACCCCGTAAAGAAAGAAAAAAAGGAATGCAGCTCTATTCATAAAAGAGAGTATGACAGAGTCAATGCGGAAATATAATTCTATTTGCAGAAATTCACAGAAATTACAGAAATCTAACTCCTCAAGAATATTTCTGTAGTGTAAATTGAAGTGCACCCACATGGCGTTCCATAGTTTAATTTAAAAAATCACAGCAAATATGTTGCAGTGCATACCCTAAAAGCTTCCCGCAGACCTCCATTATCAGCAATATTTTCTCCCAGGGTCCTCTTCCCCTTCACCTAACAAAAAGAAAAAGAAAGTGAAAAAGAGTGTTTCACAGCCAACTATCATTCAGCAGGAGGCATAAGTACGATAGCAAGAAAAAGTGCCATATTTTCCAGGAAAAAGTACATTCAGTAAATCACAGGGTAGTCATAATATATTGTGAGATGGCAAACGAACTCCAGCAAGGTGCTCCTGAATATACTAATTTCTATTTATTATGCTACGCATTTCTTTCTCACCCACCTCTGTATTCTCACCAATTTAGCCAGCTCCAGTAAAAAGTTAACAATACTCTGACTGACTCTGGTTTAATGGAGGAAAAGTTGAAATGTCAATACACAGATGACTTTCTCTGATTAATGCATATAATTTGAGTATTCTTTTCAGTATGCTTCTGTTTCCAAAAATTTACCATCCACAAAGGAACAAAACTTCAAGACCAACCATCACCATTTTCCTTTCAGCAACTTCCACGAAAAATTAAAAGGAGGGTAGTTCTCACGGGGGACAAAAAAAAATCAAACAGAAGTAGCACAGTCCACAAGGTCAAGGTTTGCAATATGTATGATAAGCAGCCAAGCATGGGGAAGAAATTCCTCCAAACATTTGAAGATTGTTTCTTAAATCCCTAAATAGGCTAGGATAAAAAACATTCCAAGCCAATACATCCCACAAGCCAGAATCTAACCTGCTGCTCACTGTTATATAGGCTTTGAGGTAAAACTGGATTTTACATTTCTCATTGTGCGGTGGCGGGGGGATCCAAAGAAGGGGAATATTTTGTGACAGGTAAAAATTAGATGAAATTCAAATTCGGTGTCCTTCATTCAAGTTTTATTGGAACACAGCCATGCGCATTTGTGTAAATACTGTCTGGGGCAGTTCTCTTGCTACAGTGGCCAAATGGAGTAGTTGCAAAAGAGACCTATGGCCCACGAAACCTAAATCACTTACTACCTGGCCCTTTACAGACCAAATCTTTCAATTCCTGCCTAAGAAGCAGAATAATGTCCCGCTCCCCTACCAAAAACGTCATCTATGATCCTAAATTCCTGGAGCCTGTGAAAATGTTATCTTTTGTGGCAAAAGGAAATTGTAAAACATGATTAAGTAAAGGATCTGGAGACATTAACCTGCATTATCCAGGTGGGTCCAATGTAACTACAAGAGTCCATACAGAGAGAGGAAAAGGGAGGAGAGCAGGTCAGAGTGATGCAATGTGAGATGTGACCAGCTACTGCTGGCTTTGAAGAAAGAAGGTGCCATGAGCCAAGGAATAGGGCCAGCCACTAAGAGCAAGAAACGCTGAGGAAAGAGACTCTCCCCTAGAGCAGCTAGAAAGGAAAGCAGCTCTGCTTACCCACTGATTTCAGCTCACTGAGGCCTGAGTGGGACAGTGAGGACTGTAAAATAGTGTTTGTGTTGTTTCAAGCCATTAAGTTCGTGGTGATGTGTTATAGCAAAAGAAAATGAATATTCCCTGCTCTAAAACTTAAAGCCATGGATCCTACCCATTCTTTACTTTTAAGCTAGTCCAAGCACCCAGGTATCAAGCAATATACCAATGGATAAAATCAGATCTTTAGAAAGCATTAATTTCTGTAATCACCCAGGACTCTCCTAGCTTCAGTACCCCCAAAGTTCCCACTCCTGCTTTACATATATTCCTTCTTTTACAACAGTCCTACAAAGTTAAGTGCTGTTACCACCACCCTTGTTTAACAAACGAGGAAAGAACAGAGCATGTAGCAGATGTCACTGGTGTCGCACTAGGTCCCCGTTTCCATCAGGACAGTGCACTCATTCCTACAACTGCTACCAGCTCAGAAAGACTACACTTAGCTTAGGGGAGCTGCTACACCTGAAGATTCCTGGGAGGGGATACTCCACCTCTCAGTAACTGACTGATGAGCAGTTAGAACTGCCTAGCCCCTTTACCCCTGGCTGAACAATTCCTATGGTGCGAGTCATGCTCCAGAACCTTCTCAGGAATCAGGCTGAGGCTAAACCCCTGAAACCAACAGGGTTTCCTCACCCTCTTGTAGGTCTCTCCTGAAACTACTTCCGAAATAAATCCCTTACCTAAGAAACCCCTTCCTGAACTTTATTTCCAGTGATCCTGACCTAAACAGAGTTGACTAAATGAACAGCCCACATTTCATGGGGATTCAAAAAGTTTGTGTCCAGAGTTTTTGCCTCCTAACATGCTGCCTTCTCAAATCACAACTGCTCTGGACTCCAGTGCTTCTGCTTATACTCACTCATGCTCCTATTTAATCTTTGTCTTTGCTCCTCAAAGCTTTATCAAAAATGGAGGTTTGAGGAGTGGCCTCAGCCCTCTGGCTCCTCCCCCTCATTCTAGACCATCTCAGTAGACCATATGGCTCCAGGTTTGCCCCTCAAGACTCACCAGCTGTGAACACTCTGCTTCTGTGGCACTCCCCTGGAGCTCCCCAGTTTGCCGCAATGGATTCAGGCATTCACAAATGGAGCCAGAAAATAAAGTGTGGCCTTTTATACCCACAAAGGAAGCAGCCCCCTCTCCTCTGGGATAGAGACTGAAGCTGTTTTCTGATGGTTGAGTGGATTTTGCCAAGACAAGCATCCCCTTTCTATCGTCCTTGTGACAAAGGTACACATTTCCCACAATTCAGTTTCAGTATCTGACATTTTAGCCCAAATGGATGCTGTGGAATAGTCCTCCCACCAACATACTAGCTAGGAATAAAATTAACTTAAAATAAGAAAACCACAGAACGATATGGTGAAAAGAATGTGGATCTTGGAGTCATTCTCATCTAGACTCCACTGTGGTTTTAAATCTCTTTGAGCCTCAATTTTCTTATATGTAAAATAGGCTAACAATATATATACCTCTCAGGACCAGTAGGAGGATGACATTTGTTTCAGCTGATTGAAAAGTAACAATCATCAGGAAATATACATTCCTTTCCTCAAAAAAAAAAAAACTGTTCTTCTATTTTTTTAAATATTTTTTTCAGTCTCACAGCCTTTGGCTTTGTTTTTGCCTAGGATGGGGCACCTATGAGTATGTGACAAAGTATTAGCAAGAGTAACTATAATTTACTGAATACTTACTGCATGTCAGCCATCATAGTGGTGCTTTACGTAATTGCAGCCATTTCAGCCATTTAATTCTTACAACAAATGAATGAGTTCAGAAACAGTGACCCATTTCAGAGATGAAGACACTGAGACTCAGGAACATTAAGCAACTTTCCCAAGTTCAAAAAACTTCTAAATGGTTTAATCAAGATTTGAACCTCTATCTAACTCTAGAACACCTCTCCTACATTTTTCTTAAAGTAACATATATTCTAGATGGATTTTCACAATGTGATAACTCCTGAATTGAATACAGATAAACAGAAGCACCCATTTTACATCTTCTCGTGACAGAGTTATAGATATTAAAACATACACACACACACACAGAAATGGCTTTCCAAAACGGTGATGAAAGAGCTAGAGAAACTATTCAAGCATATAGCCTCTGGTTTCTCTTTCTGAACAAGGAGTCGTGTTCCTTGTGCTGAATATGGTTGAAGAATCAGAAGGAACAAGTCAGTTCTGTGTGGTCTCTTGTTCGTGTTAGGTGCTGTACCCTTAACTATATGAAATAGACGCATATAGTGTGTGCATGTGTGTTTTAGAGTGAGGGCTTCCTGTAGATCCATACCCTACAAACGATTCTTCATTATTGGTCTCTTACTGTCAATACAATGTGAGAAATCTATTTCTTGTAATTATGAAAGCAGGGGCAGAAAATGCAACAAAAAACTACATAGAAAAAAATGATATAGGGAGGAGAAATGAAAAAAACCTGACCAAACCAGCAAAATAAGGAAAAGGAAAAATAAGTAAAAAAAATAAAAACAGGAGATGGTGGGGGTGAGGGGGGAGTGGAAGGAGGGTGATGGGCATGGAGAATGGCACTTGTGGGGATGATCACTGGGTGTTATATGGAAACCAACTTGACAATAAACTATTAAAAATGAATAAACTCAAAACTCATTTAAAAAAAACAAGAGATAAACTATTATAAAGAAAACTATAAAATTGTGTTTGAAAACCTAAAAAAAATACCAGAAAGACATACCATGTTCTTGAACAAGAAGACTATATCATAAAAATGTCAATTCCATACAGTAACTGATTTAACTTAGAATCCCAATGGAATAGACCAGCAGAGTAAAATACATAATCCAAAAATTAATATATATAAGATTCCATTCTGACAAGTATTCAATTCAGTGAGGAAAAAAAATGTCTTTTAATTAGTGATGTTGGATCAATGGATTTGTATTTCAGAAGAAAATAAAAGTAAATACTCATATTAAACTCCATAAAAAATAAGTTTCACATGCATCAAGATTTAAATGTAAAATAATAAAACAACAAAAACCTTCCCAGAAAAGCTGGGAAACTATATATATGACATAGAGTGGAAATACAGAAATTATTTTTTAAAGAGAAATATATGTATCTTTGGCTATATAGAAATGTTTAATTTTTGTAGGTCAAAAGATGCCATATATAAAATCCAATGGATGAGTAATTATACTTGGGGAAAACACTGTAATGTGAATGATAAAATTTTAACATCTGTAATATCTTTTATTTTTTAATGTTTTATTTATTTCTGAAAGAGAGAGAGACAGCATGAGCAGGAGAGGGTCAGAGAGAGAGGGAGATAGAGAATCTGAAGCAGGCTCGAGGCTCCAAGCTAGCTGTCAGCACAGAGCCCGACGCGAAGCTCCAACCCACGAACCGTGAGATCACGACCTGAGCCGAAGTTGGACACCCAAATGACTGAGCCACCCAGACGCCCCTGTAGTATTTTTTTACAGTGCTCATAAATTGACAAGAAAATGAGAAATGCTCTTTTGTATATCACTAGTGAGAATATGAAATATTATAACTTGCTGGTGATAGTCGGAATCTATCTTATATGGACAAAAAGAATATGAACCTAACAAGAGTGTTTATTACAGCAGCATTTGCTGTGGGAAAAGAACTGGAGACAAAGTGTAACCTCTTGAGAAGAGGTTAGTTGAGTATGTTAGACACACTCACACTGTGGACTTCTAGGCAGCCACTGAAAACCATGAACTAAACTAAAGGGGTGTGTGTGTACATGTGTATCTTACATGACCATGGGAAACAGTGTACCATGGTAATTAAGATGAATTACAGGTAGGCAAGATAAGACTGATGACAGGGAAAGTGAAAGGAGACAGAAATGAAGACAGGAAAGGAGCAAAATCTGACACACACAAACAGCAGATATAAAATCGCATTCTTGCCTTCGTGGAAATTTAGATACCTAATAGAAAAGAAGCATTTTAAAAGTACGCTTCTTTTGGTTAAACTTCTATAAATGTCATCTCTTAACCAATACAGAGTCATTAATTCAAATTAGTGAGATTTCAATGAATTAAACTATTAAACTACAAAGTAGTAGTTTGGAACGAAATTTTTTTTAAATGACATGGAGTGTAGATTTATAAGAGTTTTATTGTTCATGTTTGCAACAAGACTTTCTACATTTGTCTGAATCTAGGAAAACAAACTAATGTTTAGGTTGTGATTCTCAAACTCAAGCTTGAATCAATCAGCGGAGGGCTTGTGAGAAGATAGCCGCTGGACCACCAGTAACCTCCCCCTCCAGGATTCTGGGTCAACAGGTCTGGAGTAAGAGTTACGAATTTCCATTTTTTGATTCTTTGTTTTTTATTTATTTTTTAGAGAAAATTGATTTTTATATAAACATTTTAAAACTTCCCTGCATGTATAAGAATCTAATTATTAAATACATTGAGAAACGAGTGCCTTACTTCTTAACTTCCGGGAGAAATCTGGGCACAGGTTGGTGGCAGGCAGGGGAAAAATTGGCTAAATTGCTACGTTCTAAAGGGACAAACACCAAGCTGTTTTTTTTTTTAATAGTTTATTGTCAAGTTGGTTTCCATATAATACCCAGTGCTCATCCCCACAAGTGCCCTCTTCCCTGCCCATCTCCCCCCTTCCCCTCAGTTTGTCCTCAGCATTCAAGAGTCTCTCATGGTTTGCCTCCCTCCCTCTCCCCCACTATTTTTCCCCTTCTCCTCCCCCATGGTCCTCCGTTAAGTTCCTCCTAATCCACCTATACGTGCAAACATAAGATATCTGTCCTTCTCTGCCTGACTTATTTAGCTCAGCATAACACCCTAAAGTTCCATCCATGTTGCTACACATGGCCAGATTTCATTCTTTCTCATTGCCATGTAGTATTCCATTGTATAGATAAACTACATTGTCTAACAACTTCCCAGGAGAGGCTGATGCTGTTGTTCTGGAAACCACACATTGAGAACCAACAGGCTAAAGGAAGCTAATGTCGAAAAGAAAACATGACCCACAAGATGCTCCTTCACCACAGCTGTACTTACATTTAGGCCAGCTTTCCTCCAGTAATAGTTGCTATATTGGTTAACCATGCACTTCGTTTTTTCTTTAAACTTTTCTTCAGAGTCAGTAGACCACCAAGGATCCAGATTTCCATTTTTATCATATTTTCTACCTAGCAGAAAGGAAAATTAAAAGATATTTGTACTACCCGTGTTCTCTTCTAGGATTTTTATGGTTTCACGTCTCACATTTAAGTCTTTACTCCATTCTGAGTTTATTTTTGTGGATGGTGTAAGCAAGCGATCCAGTTTCATTTTTTTCTGCATGCAGATGCTCAGTTTTCCCAAAGCCATTTGTTGAAGACACTGCCTTTTTCCCAGGGGATATTCTTTCCTGCTCTGTCAAAGATTAATTGACCATATAATTGTGGGTTTATTTCTGGGGTCTCTATTGTGTTTTTTGGGTCTTTGTGTCTATTTTTGTGCCAATACTATAGTGTTTTGATGACTACCACTTTGTAACATAACCTGGAAACTCTGGAATTATGATGCCTCCTACTTTGCCTTTCTTGCTCCAAACTGCTTTGGCTATTCAGAGCCTTTTGTGATTCCATACAAGTTTTAGGATTGTTTGTTCTAGCTCTGTGAAAAATGCTGCTGGTATGTTGATAGGGATTGCATCATTTTCCCAAGCAAGACATCCAGATGGCCAAAAGACACATGAAAAGATGCTCAACATCACATTTCATCAATGAAATGCAAACCAAAACTATAATGAGAGATCACCTCACACTTGTCGGAATGGCTAAAAACAATAATACAAGAGCCAACAGGTATCGGCGAGGATGTGGAAATAGGGGAACCCTCTTAGATGGTTGGTGGGGATGTAAACTGGAGCAGCCACTGGAAAACAGTATGGAAGTTGCTCAAAAAGTTAAAAAAAAAAAAAGAACTATATTATGAACCGACAATTGCACTACTAGGTATTTATCCAAAGAATACAAAAATACTAATTCAAAGGGATACATGCATCCTGATGTTTACAGCAAATAGCCAAGTTATGGAAACAGCTCAATTTTCCACTGACTGATGAATGGCTAAAGATATAGATAGAAAGATAAAGAAATAAAGATATAGGTACAATATACATATACACAGTCGAATACTACTCAGCCATAAAAAAGAATGAAATCTTGCCATTTGCATTGACATGCAGAGAACTAGAGAATATAATGCTAAGTGAAATAAGTCAGAGAAAGACAAATACTACATGATTTCACTTGTATGTAAAATTTAAGAAACAAAGCTAATGATCATAAGGAGAGAGAGAGAGAGAGAGAGAGAGAGAGAGAGAGAGAGAGAGAAGCAAACACCAGACTCTTAACTACAGAGAACAAACCATCAGTTTGGTAACTAACTGATGGTTACCAGAGGGGAGGTAAGTGGGGCAGGGGTGAAATGGGTGATGGGGATTAAGAAGGGCAGTTATCCTGATGAGCACAGGGTGATATACGGAAGTGTTAAATCCCCATACTGTACACCTGAAACTAATACTATACTGTATGTTAACTAGCTGTAATTTAAATAAAAACAAAAAAGATATTTGTAGTATTTAATGAAACTAATTTCCTCATTGTCTCTTTCCCTCAATTCAAGAGGCCTTGAGAAAGCAGTCCCAAAAGCAGGGACCATACCTGGGAGCAGCTTCTACCTTCTCTCCAGTGTCTCAGGTTAATTGTAAAAAGGGAGGAAGGAGAAAGAGGTTTGAGGAAGTTTTTTCTTCCTAAGTAATAAAGAACATTTTAAAAATAAGATTCATCAGCTTATGGCATGCACATTCTAAACCATTCTTGAATTCTTTGTTTTCCTCTGATAAAAATGTTCTCTGGATTATGAAATGAAACGGCTTCATTCAGAAAGCCCATGAAAGGAGATGGAGCGCCAGTACCAGTGAAATTCCAAATCATCTATAGGAACAGTCCAATGAGTCATTCACGCTGTGAGACTGCAGCCCCTGACTCAATCCTATTGGAACGTGTTTCCTCCAAGTTGCTAGGAGCTGAGAGACACTTAAAACCTCTATTATGAATCATTCCACAGCCATCAGTGTGCATGGAAGTCCCATCTGTCCTGCTTTGACAAGGAAGGTTGCTCTAAAAAGAGAACTTGGAACAAGAATGGAAATCTCCAAAACATAAGGGAAAAACATCAGTTATACATGCTTTTTTGCCACAGGCTTACTCATCGTTTTCTCTACATCCTTCAAAAGAAGTTTGAGTATATCTGGACTGTCTTCATACTCAAGATTACTAGTGGTTTGAACTTAATTATGCAAAGAATTCTTCATCGGGCATACAAGAAAGTCCTTGAAGCCAAGGTGTTAATTGGAATAATCCAAGGCTCTTCAGCAGGAGTGGATGCCGCTAACACGAACCCCTGGGAGGGCATGGACTTACTGTCCTCCACACACTATCCAACCAATCATTAAACAGTTACTGGGCATGTAGTTAACTGTGTGACTCTCTGTTCTAAGTACTGATTACAGAATGAAATTGCCATCATTAGATTATGTTCTTGGAGAATGACTTCAAAAGGCCTCCAAAAGATTCACAGCGGGAACTATACCTGAATTTCCCAGGAAGAAAGCCCCAGAACCAAGAGATCACTCCTGGCTTATGTTTCTTAGCTAAGACACCCTTCTTAGATAAACCAAACATGCAAAGACAGAAAGTGTAGCTCTGGATATTGAGAGGACCACAAGGTAGCTACATTTTAAGAGGGAGGGGGCAGACCAGAGGCACAAAAACCTTAGATGATTCAGAAAGAGTTGGTGGGAGCACAGGAAGAATTGTCCAGAAGGAGAACCAAAAGAGTATCTGGGCTTGGGGTCAGCATCCAGGAAAGGATGGTGGAGACACCACAGACATGGAAAAAACAGGTCCTTTCTATACAATCTTGCCTTGTGCCAGTCAGCTCCTTGAATCTGCCTCCAAGTCACTGTGCAGATGTGGATATGATTGTAATTTGCGACTAATTCATAAATTTCAGAGATTTCATGTGGCTTTCCAATAATACTCAAAAGGAGAAAGGAGTGCCAATTAAAAATGATGACAACCCTCAAGGGGCAATAATTTCTTTAGTTGATGAATATTCTACTTTTGTGCTTAAATGTCAATGGGATACATAGCATATTCTATATTATGCATTATTAGGAAAGCATAGCCCCTAAAAAAATTCTGAAGATATACCAGTATAGAGAAAAACACAGCTTAAGTATTGCATAATCCTTGAAATAGTATAAAAGAATCAGGCAACGGGGAAAAACTGAGAGCTTTCCCCCTGAGATCAGGAACACGACAGGGTTGTCCACTCTCACCACTGTTGTTTAACATAGTGCTGGAAGTCCTAGCATCAGCCATCAGACACCAAAAGGAAATCAAAGGCATCAGAATTGGCAAAGAGGAAGTCAAACTTTCACTCTTCGCAGATGACATGATACTCTACATCGAAAACCCGACAGACTCCACCAGAAGCCTACTAGAACTGATCCAAGAATTCAGCCAAGTTGCAGGGTACAAAATCAATGTACAGAAATCAGTTGCATTTTTATATACCAATAATGAAGCAACAGAAAGAGAAATCAAGAAACTGATCCCATTCACAATTGCACAAAAAACCATAAAATACCTCGGAATAAACCTAACCAAGGATACAAGAGATCTGTATGATGAAAACTATAGAAAACTTATGAAGGAAATTGAAGAAGACACAAAGAAATGGAAAAACATTCCATGCTCATGGATAGGAAGAATAAATATAGTTAAGATGTCATTACTACCTAAAGCACTCTACACATTCAATGCAATTCCAATCAAAACTGCACCAGCATACTTCTCAAAACTAGAACAAACTATCCAAAAATTTGTATGGAACCACAAAAGACCCCGAATAGCCAAAGTAATACTGAAAAATAAAACCAAAACGGGAGGGATCACCATCCCAGACTTCAGCCTCTACTACAAAGCTGTCATCCTCAAGACAGTATGGTATTGGCACAAAAACAGACACATAGACCGATGGAACAGAATTGAGAACTCAGAAGTGGACCCAAAAGTATACAGCCAACTGATCTTTGACAAAGCAGGAAAGAATATCCAATGGAAAAAAGACAGCCTATTTAACAGATGGTGTTGGGACCAGAAAATTAATAGGCAACCAACGGAATGGGAAAAGATAGTTGCAAATGACATATCAGATAAAGGGTTAATATCCAGAATCTATAAGGAACTCACCAAACTACACGCCCGAAAAACAAACAACCCAGTGAAGAAACGGGCAGAAGATATGAACAGACACTTCTCCAAAGAGGACATCCAGATGGCCAACAGACACATGAAACGATGCTCAGCATCCCTCCTCATCAGGGAAATACAAACCAAAACCACACTGAGATACCACCTCACGCCAGTCAGAGTGGCTAAAATGAGCACATCAGAGAACTCTAGATGCTGGCGAGGATGTGGAGAAACGGGCACCCTCCTACACCGTTGGTGGGAATATAAACTGGTGCAGCCCGTCTGGAAAACAGTGTGGAGGTTCCTCAGGAAACTAACATTAGAACTCCCCTATGACCCAGCAATAGCACTGCTAGGAATTTACCCAAGGGATACAGAAATGCTGAGGCATAGGAGCACATGTACCCCAATGTTCATAGCAGCACTCTCCACAATAGCTAAAACATGGAAAGAGCCTAAGTGTCCATCAACAGATGAATGGATCAAGAAGATGTGGTTTATCTATATCATGGAATACTACATGGCAATGAGAAACGATGAACTCTGGCCATGTGTAGCAACATGGATGGACCTTGAGGGTGTTATGCTGAGCGAAATAAGTCAGGCAGAGAAGGACAAATATCATATGTTTGCATGTATAAGAGGATTAGGAGGAACTTGACGGAAGAACAAGGGGGAGAAGAAGGGCGGAAATGGTGGGGGAAAGGGAGAGAGGCAAACCATGAGAGACTCTTGAATGCTGACAAAAACTGAGGACTGATGGATGAGGGGGGGAGGGGGAATGGGCATGGAGGAGGACACTTGTGGGGATGAGCACTGAGTGTTATGTGGAAACTAATCTGACAATAAACTATTTGTAAAAAAAAAAAAAAAAAATCAGGCAGCCAAGCTCCGGAGTCCTAACTTGGTAGCATGTATAATCATCTTCGAAGCAGAGCTCACACCTCCAGGGAGAGCATCCCAAGATGGTGAATAAAGAAGTGAGAGAGGGGAGAGGGTATGAAGCAATTCCTGTAACTATCATGGCAGCTACAGCAATCCTGATCTAAATGCAAAGCTAATTTCATTGAAATTACAAGGTCTTTTTTTTCATGCTATCCCATCACCAACAGGAACAATTATTTATTTATGTCAAGCTATCACAACAAGGCATGGGGGAAACTTTTCAATAAGCAGTCATACTGCTTTGGATAATCTTCAGTCTATGATGATGCCACTATGCAAAGATAATAGCAACAATTAACATCCGTATCATCAACATTATCATAAAAGCAGCAGCTTATACAATGAATCAGTACTTACCATTATTATCAAATCCATGTGTAAATTCATGTCCAACAATTACTCCTATAGCTCCATAACTCAGAGATCTATGGTATAAATAGATTACAGGCATGAACCCCAGAGCATAATCATTTGATTTTTCTCAGTGAAAAGACAAGATAATCTGTTTTCTAGTAACCATAACAACTTAATAACCACACCCTCAAAACTATAAAAAGAAAAATCTAAACACAATCTTCTCATTGAAATAGACAAAGAAAATAAATTCTAATACTGCCACAATGACCATGTATGAAATTAGGGATGTGAAAGAGATGGTTTCTAAAGTCCCTTCTAGCTCTAATGCTTCTATAATTCTGTATCAGCTCTAGATACTTTATATTTATAAACAGTCAAAGCAGCAGCAGGGTTTGAAAGATCCTGTCTGTAAACATACCATTTATTTTTTATCTGAGAACCTGGTGAAAAAATCACTATAGACTTAGAAGTTAAATTGTTTCCCAAATGCAATCATAAAAAAAGGAACAGAGCAGAGATTGAAAGAGATCACTGCTTTCAAAGGTAGTCACATTCCCTTGCTTCTGTGAAAGACAAGCTCAGGAGTGAATGGCAAAGATCATGAAGCCTTAACCAGATTTGGAAACTGCAGAATCATAAGCCAGTAGTGATTGTTTGGTGGTGCTGTTAGGTAGCAGTAAAGAACTGAAACAGAGTATATTAATGATACATGAAGAAATCCATAAGGAGGCTTCCAGGTGTGTGTCTGTGTATATGCACACGTACACGTGGGCCTGGCACCTCTCTCAACTACAAGTTCCATGAAAGCCAAACCCTTATCAATCTGATCACTGTTAAATTCTCTGTACCTAGGACACAGTAAGAAAGTTAACAATCATTTAACTAATCAGTTAATTAACTTTGCCATATCAAGCAAGTGATAGGTCTACATGTAATTCAGTTTTTTAACATGTGGCTGAATATTAAAGACAACTTAAAAATCTTTGTTATGAGGATTCTTCCTGAGATTTCCTGAAAATATTTTGCAGTTGCCTCCTGACATGCAACATCAAAGTCACCCAGCAAATGGAAAGGACCCATAAGTGGAAAGAACAAGAATTTTTGAAGCAACATGTTATTACAGGACATAATGATCCTTAACATGTTAATTGTTGGTCTCAACGACACTCAACGAAGTGCTGTAAGATTTCATTTTTCCCCTTGGTGGCAATTCTTTCCTTCATTTCTTTCCTGCAAGGTAATTTGCATTTGAAAAAACACTTCCTACTGTTTTTACATCATTGCAAACCTTCATTAAAGAAGTAAGAGTAGGGGGTGCCTGGGTGGCTCAGTCGGTTAATTGTCCAACTTCAGCTCAGGTCAGATCTCACGGTTCGTGGGTTCGAGTACCACATCAAGCTTTGAGCTAACAGCTCAGAGCCTGGAACCTGTTTCAGATTCTGTGTCTCCCTCTCTCTCTGCCCCTCCCCCACTCAAGCTCTGTCTCTGTCTCAAAAATAAATAGACTATTTAAAATTTTTTTAAAAAAGAAGTAAGAGTAAAATTATGCATTTCAATCATGGAGCTATCATGGCAGTATGGAACAAAACTTGTAATGTTACATGGTGCTCATTTCTGCAGTAGTGGCTGTCACTAGGCAGCCTATAACATTTCGTTTTTCATGCCTCTCAGCCCTGAGAACAGTACTCAGTCCTCTACCACCTTTGGTCAATGCAGTTGACTGGATGAATTTCAGGGATGAACAATGGAAGCTTATAGGAACTGCTCTACAATAAACTTCCTTTAAGAGGGGCTGCTCCTAATTGAATTCAACGGCACATAAAAAGAATTATCCACCATAATCAAGTGATATTCATTCCTGGGTTACAGGGCCAGTTCAATATTCGTAAATCAATCAATGTGATACATCACATTAACAAAAGAAAAGATAAAAACCATATGATCCTGTTGATAGATACAGAAAAAGCATATGACAAAATACAGCATCCTTTCCTAATAAAGACCCTCGAGAAAGTTGGGATAGAAGGAACTTACTTAAACATCATCAAAGCCATCTCTGAGAAGCCCTTGGCTACATCATCCTCAACAAGGAAAAACTGAGAGCTTTCCCCCTGAAATCAGAAATGACAGGGATGTGCACTCTCACCACTGTTATTTAACATAGTGCTGGAAGTCCTATCATCAGCCATCAGACAACAAAAGGAAATCAAAGGCATCAGATTTGGCAAAGAAGAAGTCAAACTTTCACATTTCGCAGATGACATGATACTCTACAAAGAAAACTTGAGAGATTGCACCAGAAGCCTACTAGCACTGATCCATGAATTCAGCAAAATCACAGGGTACAAAATAAATGTATAGAAATAGGTTGCATTTTTATACAGCAATAATGAAGCAACACAAAGAGAAATCAAGAAATTGAGGGGCTCCTGGGTGGCTTACTCGGTTAAGCGTCTGACTTTCACTTAGGTCATGATCTCGTGGTTCGTGGGTTCGAGCCCTGCGTCGGGCTCTGTGTTGACTGCCAGCTCAGAGCCTGGAGCCTATTTCAGAGTCTGTATCTCCCTCTCTCTCTGACCCTCCCCTGCTCACGCTGTCTCTCTCTCTCTCTCCTAGAAATATTTTTGTAAAATTAATAGCTGGGCTTGAAAAAAACATAGGGGACATCAAAGAAACTATGGCTACAGACAGAATGGAAAATAAAAAGAGGCATGAAGAATTAAAAAATGCGATAAATGAGATCCATAATAAATTAGAGGCCTCCAATGCACGGATTGAAGAGGCAGAAAGGAGAATAAGCGATTTAGAAGACACCATTATAGAAAAACAAGAAGCTGACAAAAAAAGAGACAAACTGATCCAGGAACAGGAAAGAAGAATTCGAGAGCTCAGCGATACGGTCAAACGCAACAATATCCGTATCATAGGAATCCCAGAAGAGGAAGAGAGAGGGAAAGGTGCTGAAGGAGTCCTGGAACAAATTATAGCAGAGAACTTCCCCGACCTGGGGAAGGAAGTCAATGTGGAAGTACAAGAGGCTCAGAGGACTCCCCTCAGACGTAACCTGAATCGATCTTCTGCACGACATATCATAGTGAAAATGGCCAAATACAAGGACAAAGAGAGAATTTTGAAAGCAGCTAGGGAGAAAAGGGCCCTAACATACAAAGGGAAACCTATCAGAGTGGTGACAGACCTATCTACTGAAACTTGGCAGGCTAGAAAGGAATGGCAGGAAATCTTCAATGTGATGAACGGTAAAAATATGCAGCCAAGAATCCTCTATCCAGCAAGCCTGTCATTCAAAATAGAAGGAGAGATAAAAACCTTTCCAAATAAACAGAAATTGAAAGAATTTGTCACCACGAAGCCAGCCCTACAAGAAATCCTGAGGGGGATGCTCTGAAGGAAAGGTTGCAAGGAACAAAGATACCAGAGACACCACCACAAACATGAACCCTACAAAAGATACAAAGACTCTAAACCCACATATTTCAATAATAACACTGAATGTAAATGGGCTGAATGCTCCAATCAAAAGACATAGGGTAGCAGAATGGATTAAGAAACAAAATCCATCAATATGCTGTCTACAAGAAACTCATTTTAGACGGGAAGATACCTTCAGATTAAAAGTAAGGGGATGGAGAAATATATATCATGCTACAGGAAATCAAAAGAAAGCCGGAGTAGCGATACTTATATCAGACAAACTGGACTTTAAATTAAAGACAATCACAAGAGATGAAGAAGGGCACTACATAATAATTACAGGGTCCATCCATCAGGAAGAACTAACAATCATAAATGTCTACGCACCGAATATGGGAGCACCTAAATATCTAAAACAATTAATCACAAACAGAAACAAGCTTATAGATAAGAATGTGCTAATAGCAGGGGACTTTAATACTCCGCTTACAGCAATGGATAGGTCAACCAGACAGAAAATCACTAAAGAAATAATGGACTTGAAAGACACATTGGACCAGATGGATCTGACGGATATATTTAGAACTTTACATCCTGAGGCCAGGGAATTTACTTTCTTCTCAAGTGCGCATGGCACATTCTCCAAGATAGATCACATACTGGGACATAAAGCAGCCCTCAATAAATATAAAAGAATAGAGATCATACCATGCACACTGTCAGATCACAATGCTTTGAAACTTGAAATCAATTACAGGAAGAAGTCTGGAAAACCGCCAAAAACATGGAGGTTAAAGAACACCCTTCTAAAGAATGAATGGGCCAATCAGGCAATTAGAGAGGAAATTAAAAAATATATGGAAACAAATGAAAATGAAAACACAACAATTCAAAATCTATGGGATGCGGCCAAGGCAGTCCTAAGAGGAAAGTACATTGCTCTCCAGGCCTATTTCAAGAGATTAGAAAAAGCACAAGTCCAAAATCTAACAGCTCACCTAAAGGAGCTAGAGGCAGAGCAACAAGAACGCCCTAAACCCAGTAGAAGAAGAGAAATAGTAAAAATTAGAGCAGAAATAAACAACATAGAGACCAAAGAAACAATTGAACAGATCAATGAAACCAAGAGTTGGTTTTTTGAAAAAGTAAACAAAATTGACAAACCTCTAGCCAGGCTTATCAAAAAGAAAAGAGAGAGCACCCAAATAGACAAAATTATGAATGAAAATGGACTTATTACAACCAACCCCTCAGAAATACAAGCAATTATCAGGGAATACTATGAAAAATTATATGCCAACAAATTGGACAACTTAGAAGAAATGGACAAATTCCTAAACACACACTCACTACCAAAATTCACACGGGAAGAAATAGAAAACCTGAACAGACCCATAACGAGTGAAGAAATCGAATCAGTGATCAAAAATCTCCCAACAAATAAGAGCCCTGGACCTGATGGTTTCCCTGGGGAATTCTACCAGACATTTAAAACAGAATTAATCCCAATTCTTCTCAAGCTATTCCAAAAAATAGAAGTCGAAGGAAAACTCCCGGACTCATTTTATGAAGCCAGCATCACTCTGATTCCCAAGCCAGACAGAGATCCAGCAAAAAAAGAGAACTATAGGCCAATATCCTTGATGAATACGGATGCAAAAATTCTCAACAAGATCCTTGCAAATCGAATCCAGCAGCATATCAAAAGAATCATCCACCAAGATCAAGTGGGATTCATTCCTGGGTTACAGGGCTGGTTCAACATTCGCAAATCAATCAATGTGATCCATCATATCAATAAAAGAAAAGATAAAAACCATATGATCCTGTCAATAGATGCAGAAAAAGCATTTGACAAAATACAGCATCCCTTCTTAATAAAGACTCTCGAGAAAGTTGGGATAGAAGGAACCTACTTAAACATCATCAAAGCCATCTATGAGAAGCCTTCAGCTAACATCATCCTCAACGGGGAAAAACTGAGAGCTTTCCCCCTGAGATCAGGAACACGACAGGGATGTCCACTCTCACCACTGTTGTTTAACATAGTGCTGGAAGTCCTAGCATCAGCCATCAGACAACAAAAGGAAATCAAAGGCATCAGAATTGGCAAAGAGGAAGTCAAACTTTCACTCTTCGCAGATGACATGATACTCTACATAGAAAACCCGACAGACTCCACCAGAAGCCTACTAGAACTGATCCAAGAATTCAGCCAAGTTGCAGGGTACAAAATCAACGTACAGAAATCGGTTGCATTTTTATACACCAATAATGAAGCAACAGAAAGAGAAATCAAGAAACTGATCCCATTCACAATTGCACAAAAAACCATAAAATACCTCGGAATAAACCTAACCAAGGATACAAGAGATCTGTATGATGAAAACTATAGAAAACTTATGAAGGAAATTGAAGAAGACACAAAGAAATGGAAAAACATTCCATGCTCATGGATAGGAAGAATAAATATAGTTAAGATGTCATTACTACCTAAAGCACTCTACACATTCAATGCAATTCCAATCAAAATTGCACCAGCATACTTCTCAAAACTAGAACAAACTATCCAAAAATTTGTATGGAACCACAAAAGACCCCGAATAGCCAAAGTAATACTGAAAAATAAAACCAAAACGGGAGGTATCACCATCCCAGACTTCAGCCTCTACTACAAAGCTGTCATCCTCAAGACAGTATGGTATTGGCACAAAAACAGACACATAGACCAATGGAACAGAATTGAGAACTCAGAAGTGGACCCAAAAGTATACAGCCAACTGATCTTTGACAAAGCAGGAAAGAATATCCAATGGAAAAAAGACAGCCTTTTTAACAGATGGTGTTGGGAGAACTGGACAGCAACATGCAGAAGAATGAAACTAGATCATTTTCTCACACCATGCACAAAAATCAACTCAAAATGGATAAAGGACCTGAACGTGAGACAGGAAACTATCAACACCCTAGAGGAGAAAGCAGGAAACAACCTCCTTGACCTCCACCGCAGCAACTTCTTACTTGACACATCCCCAAAAGCAAGGGAATCAAGAGCAAAAATAAACTGTTGGGACCTCATCAAGATTAAAAGCTTCTGCACAGCCAAGGAAACAACCCAGAAAATTAATAGGCAACCAACGGAATGGGAAAAGATAGTTGCAAATGACATATCAGATAAAGGGTTAATATCCAGAATCTATAAGGAACTCACCAAACTACACGCCCGAAAAACAAACAACCCAGTGAAGAAATGGGCAGAAGACATGAACAGACACTTCTCCAAAGAGGACATCCAGATGGCCAACAGACACATGAAACGATGCTCAGCATCCCCCCTCATCAGGGATATACAAATCAAAACCACACTGAGATACCACCTCATGCCAGTTAGAGTGTCTAAAATGAGCAAATCAGAGGACTCAAGATGCTGGCAAGGATGTGAAGAAACAGGCACCCTCCTACACTGTTGGTGGGAATGTAAACTGGTGCAGCCCCTCTGGAAACCTGTGTGGAGGTTCCTCAAAAATTTAACACTAGAACTCCCCTATGACTCAGCAATTGCACTGCTAGGAACTTACCCAAGAGATACAGGAGTGCTGATGCATAGGGGCACATGGACCCCCAATGTTCACTCTCAACAATAGCCAAAACATGCAAAGAGCCTAAGTGTCCATCAATGGACGAATGGATCAAGAAGATGTGGTTTATCTATACAATGGGATCGTGGCAATAAGAAAGAATGAAATCTGGCCATGTGTAGCAACATGGATGGAACTTGAGGGTGTCATGCTGAGCGAAATAAGACAGGCAGAGGACACATACCATATGTTTGCACATATAGGAGGATTAGGAGGAACTTAACAGAGGACTGTGGGGGAGAAGAAGGGGAGGAAATAGGGAGGGAGAAGAAGGGAGGCAAACCAAGAGAGACTTCTGAATGCTGAGAACAAACTGAGGGCTGGTGGGTGTAGGGAGGGAGGGGAAAGGGGGTGATGGGCATGGAGGAGGGCACTTGTGGGGATGAGCACTAGGTGTTATATGGAAACCAAGTGACAATAAACTATTAAAAAAATAATAAAATAAAAAATTTAAAAAAAATTTTTAATTAATAATAGAACTCCCCTATGACCCAGCAATAGCACTGTCAGTAATTTACCCAAGGGATACACGAGTGCTGATGCATAGGGACACATGTAGCAATGTTCATAGCAGCACTCTCAACAACAGCCAAACCATGGAAAGAGCCTAAGTGTCCCCCAACGGACAAATGGATCTAGAAGATGTGGTTTATCTATACAATGGAATACTACATGGAAATGAGAAACAATGAAATCTGGCCATGTGTAGCAACATGGATGGAACTCGAGGGTGTTATGCAGAGCGAAATAAGTCAAGCAGAGAAGGACAGATACCATATGTTTGCACGTACAGGAGGATTAGGAGGAACTTAACAGAGGACCGTGTGGGAGAAGAAGGGGGGAAATGGGGGGGGGAGGAGAGGGAGGGAGGCAAACCATGAGAGACTCTTGAATGCCCAGAACAAACTGAGGGCTGATAGGGGTTGGGGAGAGGGGAAGGCGGGTGATGGGCATGGAGGAGGGCACTTATGGTGATGAGCACTGGGTGTTATATGGAAACCAACTTGACAATAAACTATTTAAGGAAAAGAAAAAGAAAACGATCAAAAAAAAAAAAAACTGCTGAGACCTCATCAAGATAAAAAGCTTCTGCATGGCAAAGGAAACAATCCATAAAACTAATAGGCAACTGACAGAATGGGAAAAGATAGTTGCAAATGACATATCAGATGAAGGGCTAGTATCCAAAATCTATAAGGAACTCACCAAACTCCACACCCGAAAAACAAATAATCCAGTGAAGAAATGGGCAGAAGACATGAACAGACACTTCTACAAAGAGGACATCCAGATGGCCAACATGAAACAATGCTCAGCCTCCCTCCTCATCAGGGAAATACAAAAACTTAAATATTTTCTATTGCTTATTAATGCCCAGGCTCCTTACCCATCACTCAGAGCTTGCCAATATCAAATATCAACTTTCTTTTACAGATGTCTTTTCCACTACTTCCCTTCATATACTAATTGGATCAATCAAACTAAAATCTTGGTTTTCTATAGGTACTTTTCTTTCCTTTTCTCACATTATTTCCTCCATTTCTTCCATGCTTTTAGGCCCTTTACTATCAACTCAAATCATAACAATCCTTCAAGGTCCACATAGTTGTCCTATGAGTCAATGCATAAGTGAATAAATGCAGAAAGATCAAAGTCCCCTGTGCAGATGCTGCCTTTCCTGTCCAGTCACACAAAGTGGAAAAAGAATCAGAAAACAAATTCCTGAAATGATGAAAGTACATCTGACCCACACCAAGTTCTATGTCTTGTTTTTGCTGAACAAACAGTGGCGTTGGTTTTTGTTTTTGTGACTTTATATTCTATTCTCAGCCAAAGCAGTATGTTCCTCCTTACTTGTCAATAGCTGACTTCTTCATTAATTTACCTACCGAGGGTATTCTGTTCCCCAAAAAAAAGGCTTCTGGAGCTCTCCTGCTGGAAATCCTGGGAGAAAGACAGATAAAATTGTAAGAGATACAGAGATTGATTCAATTATGAGTACTTGGTTCAAGCTTTAGCCGAGAAGTTTCAAAGGCCCCCCTGAAAGGTACTCCTGAAGCTAGGAGCACTCAAGAGACTCACTGTTTCTAAAATGACATTAATTCAACAGAGTTTGTAACAAGTGCATCACAATAGTTTCAAGGAAACCACTTTGCATGAACACGCAATTAAATAGGCATTGTTCACCCTTCCATGACCTGGGTTCCTTCATAGCACATGCAGGAAGTTTCTGGCAGTCCAGCAGCTTCCCTGACAAAGGAAGGGCCAGCTACATGGACACGCAAACTGTGGAGTCACAGACCCTCCCTCCCCCGGGGGTCCCATTTGCACACAACATTCTTGATGATTCCCAGAAGCACAGAACTCCAGTAGATCCACAATGTGGGGGATTCTGTGAGACTCAAAGCAAGTACAAGATAAGCATATGACATCCAAGACTGAGTAGATGTGAGCTCTGACAGCACCAAGAGGGCTCTTTCTAATGGAGCCAGGATTTGTTTTGATCACCAAAAAAAGGCAAGGGCACTCTAACCTGAATGACCAGGGAACTCTATCAGATCCTTTCTTACTTTTGTTACTTCCCTGTATTAACCAATCACGTACAGTGAAAATGACACAGAAGCAAATGGAAACACAGGGCAACCCATAGTTTATTTTCCTTTCAGTACTTCCTTTTTCATCAGTAAGCTGAAGATGAGAGTGTTAGGAGAATCCATGTGTATTAGGAAATGACATAAAAACGTGGGGTCGGTTTCATGCAGCATTTCCACTGTTACAGTAAGAACAAAATATCTATGCATGTATAAGCTACAAAATACAAACTGCATAATTTTGGTGATTTCACATACAAGTTAAAAGCTCTTTTCATTTAAAACTGGCATTGCACAATCTAAAGATGAACAGTAAAATTATGCTGATGACTTAAAATGTTTATTTTTCTTACAACTTACAATGGCAATGAATAGCAAATAAACCATGACAAGTTTAGAGAAAGAGAAGCCAATAAATGCAGGATAAACTTCATACTTGAGTACCTTTAGCTGCACTCTTTCCTGACCCCATATTTTCATTTTGCAGTGGGCCTTACAAATCATGCATCTGGCTTTGTGCAGATGAGTGGGAGAAATGCTTTGCTTTGCTAGTGCAACTCACCACTAAATTTAACCTTCTGGGCTGATCCTAAGAGCTGCATTCCTAAGTCATAACAATCAGGAATGCAAAGAATAGTAACAAAAGACACACACACACACACACATTCAGAGAGAGAGAGAGAGAGGGAGAGAGGGAGGGAGGGAGAGAAAGAGAGAGAGAGCGAGCGCGAGCCAGAGAGCTGCCTTCTGCAATGTCCTTGGCTGTTCTAGAGCTTTCGTTCCCTTTGAGACTGAAATCTCTTTTATGAGTTAAAATGTCATGACGCTGACAGTATGGAGCCTGCTTGGGATTCTCTTTGTCTCTCTTCTCTCTGCCCCTTTCCCACATGCAGCCTCATGCCCTCTCTCAAAATAACAAACATTAAAAAACTAAATACAATGTTTTCTCTTCACTCCCTCCCTCTCAACATTCTGTCTATCTACCAGTCATGAAAGGGCAGTACAAGAGGTGGGGGCAAGAAAACAAGTTCTTAATTTAGAAATGAAATGTAATGTTAACATTTATAATAACATTTATAATAGAGTTAACTATTCTTTATGTTTTCTTAATATCAGTTTGAGAGTGCAAAAACCTCACTGCAAAACAGAGATGGATCCAGCTAGCAGTTCTCTCTTCCTGCAGCTTTCATACAAAGGAAAATGCACCTGACTTTGAAGAGGCAACATCCTATTAATCTTCATAATTTTTTCATTTCCTTACATTTCTTTTTGCATCTTTACATCAATATCCTATCCTCTTTTTTGGTTATTACTTTCAGTAAATCCTTCTGAGTTGAAGATATATATGTATATTGTCAGCGCAGAGCCTGACACGGGGCTCAATCTCATGAACCATGAGATCATGACCTGATCTAAAATCAAGAGTTGAATGCTTAATGGACTGGGCCACCCAGGAGCCCTAAAAACATATTGCACATATATGCAAATCACTGTGTTTATATGAAAGTCTCGTTTCCCACAAAAAATCATCCAAAAGCAATGATAGGGACACCTGGGTGGCTCAGTCAGTTAAGTCCGACTACGGCTCAGGTCGTGATCTCACAGTTCATGGGTTCAAGCCTCGCATCAGGCTCTGTGCTGACAGCTCAGGGCCTAGAGCCTGCTTCGGATTCTGGGTCTCCCTCTCTCTCTACCCCTCCTCCCGCTTTTGTTCTTTCTCTCTCTCAAAAATAAACAAACATTAAAATTTTTTTTAAAAAGCAATGATACTTCCTAATAAGAACAATGATCATAAACTAATATGATCTAATTATAAAATTATTATGGCTTTCCTGCTTGGTACTGTGCCCAGCTGGAAGCACTTCTGTCCACTGACAACATCTTCACAGAAGACATCTGACATGTGCCACCTGCGTGTGTCTCCGTTTCTGCGGTTTTTGCTGTGAAGGGCCTCAGACCAGCAGGCCACAGCCATCACGCTCCTCTGAGCAGCTGTGTCTGCTCAGCTTGTCGGGGCCAGGGGGTCCTACACTGACCAAGAGGGGCATCTGATGACTTCAGGATGGCTTCGCTGAAGCTAACAGATTAACAGTGGAAGCTACAGTTTTGTAGGTGCTGACTGGCTAGAGGGAAAGAGCAAAGCCCCACAGGGCCACCCCAGTATCTTACCTCATATAGTGGTAAGATGTACAGCAAAGGTAAAAGTAAAAAATTAAACTGAAAAGGAATGCTTTTTCTCCTCTCTCCCTTTTTAATAGGCTTTTCTTGAGTTTTGTTTCTTTTGCAAATCCATTTTATTTCCTTTTTCCCCCCCATCTCAGCACCACTTCACTACCTGTTTTAACTTTCAAAGTCCCTTTTTCTATCAGTATGTTTACGGGAGGTACTCCTCACAATGTCGATGTGTGTATATGTACACACATGCACATGCCTACACACATATTACAGACACATTATGTATACATATAAATATGTACAGATGTATACATGAGAGGAGAGAGGGAGGGAGAAGAAGGAAACAGACATGTAACTAGTAGACTGGCAAAACCTAAGAAGTGTGATAATTGGTAATACAGGCTAGGGTGTGACATGCGTGTTGGTGTGAGTGTAAACTGCCACAAGCATTTTGATGAGCAAGTTAGTCATCTCTTAATGCTGTAAATGCCATTTTTTTTTACAAATAGTTTATTGTCAAGTTGGTTTCCATATAACACCCAGTGCTCATCCCCACAAGTGCCCCCCTCCATGCCCATATCCTCCCTCCCCCCTACACCCATCAGTCCTCAGTTTGTTCGCAGCATTCAAGAGTCTCTCATGGTTTGCCTCTCTCCCTTTCCCCCACCATTTCCCCCCTTCTTCTCTCCCATGGTCCTCAGTTAAGTTCCTCCTAATCCTCCTATACGTGCAAACATATGTTATTTGTCCTTCTCTGCCTGACTTATTTCGCTCAGCATAACACCCTCGAGTTCCATCCATGTTGCTACACATGGCCAGATTTCATTCTTTCTCACTGCCATGTAGTATTATATCATATAGATAAACCACATCTTCTGGATCCATTCGTCTGTTGGTGGACACTGAGGCTCTTTCCATGTTTTAGCTATTGTGGAGAGTGCTGCTATGAACATTGGGGTCCATGTGCTCCTATGCCTCAGCATTTCTGTATCCTTTGGGTAAATCCTAGCAGTGCTATTGCTGGGTCATAAGGGAGTTCTATTGTTAGTTTCCTGAGGAACCTCCACACTGTTTTCCAGAGGGGCTGTACCAGTTTACATTCCCACCAACAGTGTAGGAGGGTGCCCGTTTCTCCACATCCTCGCCAGCATCTAGAGTTCTCTGATTTGCTCATTTTAGCCACTCTGACTGGCGTGAGGTGGTATCTCAGTGTGGTTTTGATTTGTATTTCCCTGATGAGGAGGGATGCTGAGCATTGTTTCATGTGTCTGTTGGCCATCTAGACGTCCTCTTTGGAGAAGTGTCTGTTCGTATCTTCTGCCCATTTTTTTACTGGGTTGTTTGTTTTTAGGGTGTGGGTTCCTTATAGATTTTGGATATTAACCCTTTATCTGATATGTCATTTGCATTTTCAAAAAATGAGTAACTACATGCCGACATTGGAAAAAATATCTAAAAGATATTATTAAGTGAAAGAAATATTAAGTGGAAAACCAGCATTCAGTTGTGTATGCGGCTCTTTTACGTTAAATCTATACAGTCAGTTCTGCTGTAACACTTACACTGAAAAGGCAAATTTGATCCAAGGTCATTGATATATTGGGACAAAACACTGGGGCATAACTCCAATTTCACATTTGCTTATGTGCAATTTCGTGCTCAAGAAATGCTAAGTGAAAGCAGAAAAACGCATCAAATGAACCAAGCCACACAGGAATACACAAAAATACACACGTCCCAACATGGACCAGTTACCGTAGTTCACCATATGTGTTAGAAGCCACAACCACCCACACCTGGTGTTAAAATTTTCCTTTCAACTTCACATCACCCTCCTTCTACCGCTAAACAGTAATTCACAGGCTCCAAAGTCCTCCAGCGCCCACTTCTGCAAGCAAACCTCAGGTCTTTTCAGGGGAAAATGCCATATGTTCTGTAGTTTTATGTATTTACTCACTTAACATGTTTAAGACTATGCTATCCTTTTTTTTCTTCCATATTTCTATTTAAAGTCTAGTCTGTGCTGTCATTTTTAGCAGTATCCTGGCTTTTGGTTTCATGTGTCACTGATAACGTTTTATTTTTATTTTGTAACTTAGTTTTTAGAGAGAGAGAGAAGGTGTGCGAGCAGAGGAGAAAGGCAGGAGAGGTGTGGGGGGGGGATGGGAATCTTCAGCA